AGGGTTCTGTGTCTGTTGACTATTAAGGGTACAAGGAGGGTCCGGGTATGGAACTCCGAAGAGCATGGAGCGACCCAAAACCTTACAAGTATTGCTTGCAGGGCTGACAGACATGAGGTTCTCCTAGGGATGCAGGCTTACCACAGAGCCCATTTGGATCTGAACCCTTTGAGTACCCTACGCTTTTGGAGTGACTGACATGCAGTGTCCTATAGCTGCTTTTGTGTGACATCCCCGAAGCATTCCATGAGTATCATTCCGACTCTTAATGCAGCGTGCATTGCGAGGTGCCAGTGAACCCAATATCCGAAACCTGTTCGCAAGTGTTCAGCCTGAATCTGTAGCTTGTAGGCCCGACGCTCTAAACTGTACACCCCCAGCCCAAGCCCCTGTACATGTGTACAGCACTTCGTGAGCACACCTAGCCCCTACCATGTAGTTCCCCAAATAGATTTCGTATGTTTGTTGGTTCGGATTCTTATTAAACCCCAAACCCTAAATCCTAAAGCCTAAACCCTAAATCCTAAACCCTAAACCCTCAATCCTAGATCCTAAATCCGAAATCCTAAACCCTAGATCCTAAACCCCAAACCCTATAACACATTGGAGGGTCTAGGTGTGGCCTCATGTACTCAGAGAGGCCAAGCGCAGCGACGAGACAGGTGACCCCAAAGCAGGCACGAGGGTTGACACTGCTTGGGAATGGAAGGGCCTATATAACGGTATCCTGGGTTTAGGATTTAGGGCTTAGAATTGCCGATATGGTGGGGTCCCTCAGAGTGGTTGATAGGCGATATGGGGTGGAGGGTTTAGGGCTTACACGAATGCCGTTGGGGGGCTGGGAGTGACTGCCTGCAATTCTGAAAAATTGGGACAGCCCACATTAAAGGGCCCCTAGAAACGCCTAGGTATATGGGGATCAAAAGCGGGATTATGGCTCATGGGGTCCCAATTACGGATTATATAGGAATCATTTTCAGTAGTCCACGTACTGCAGTTAGGGCATTCATCAAACGATTGAAGGCCACCCGGCCTAAAAATCAGCTGCATCCACCTGCCGGTGCTTAGTAAGGAACCAGCAAATATAATCCCTACATAGTCGCCAATTAATATATATATTCCCTTATTCCCTACTAACTCGAAGTAAGTAAAGGTTTGAGGAACCCTCAAAGGACTAATAAGAATGTACCAGTCACTCAGGATGAGATTTTGCGGCGCTTTTGTGTTTCTCTTCGAGCCTACCAGCAGTTGTACAGGGTGAGGTACCAAAACCATAAACCGCCTTGGACTGGAATCAGAGCGGAGTTTCTTGTTCCTGAGAACTGGTTCTTAAAGGAGGGTGGGGGAGTGGATCCCCATATTCATCCCTATGAAATTATCATAGATACCCTTATAATCGTACCTGCATTCACTCCCCCATTTCCCCTTAAGCACCAGTAGGGATTCTAGACATCCAGAATCTTACCTTTGGAATGGCGCTTGGGGCTCTTAACCTTATCACCCTTGCATACCTACGATTTGGGGTCCCGATAGTCTTGAGCTTCGGAGGCATCATACCTAGAATTTTTGATTACAGTTGGCCTTACTGCCTCCCACAAATTTTCCAAGCAGGCCAAGGCAAAAAGGGGTCATAAGGTAGGGTTTAGTGTTTAGAGTCCAGCGTTTATGCTTCCAGGGCTTGCATGTGAGAGTTTCTGTCTACTGTACTTAGTCGCTTTGAATACGGGAGTTTCCCAAAATTAGGGGTACTTTCCCACAAGAATTACAATATATTGGGGGTCATAAGGGTTACCTTAACAAACCCTCAACTTTACACCCAAAGAAGCCGCCGTACCCTAAACCCTAAGCCCTTACCCCCACCCTAAACCCTTGTGTTTTAGCCGCTCCCAGGCTCGTCTACTACCGGTCCAGACGCTTCAGGCATGGTCACGGAGAGCTCTCGGAGTGCAAATACCAAAACGATGTTTAGGGTTCAGGGGTTTAGGGTTTTAGGCTTTTAGGGTTTAGGGCTTAGGGTTTAGGATACCCCAGGACCCGTCTATGGCCAGAGAAAATGATCCTTTCGAATCCTTTCTATGGCCAGAATTGAAGTAGACACCAAAAACCTAGTCACATACCATAGCCCTTATTGAGCCAGAGTATAGCGGACTCTAAACCCTAAACCCTAAACCCTAAACCCCAAACAACCTAATTAGATAGGCCCCTACATCAGGGTTAGGAGCTTGAAATATGGGAGTCTGTCCTGAAGTTTGGGGTTATATGGGCGTTATATAGGGGTTGTATAGGGAATTTACGGGGAATACATAGGGGTTGTATGGGGACTATACAGGGAATATAGGGGGATCATGGAAAAGAAAATGGAAGCTACTATTTAGGGTTTAGGACTGCTGTCTGTTTTGCATCGTACATGTCTTGCTTCATGCGAAGTATGGTCAAAACTCCTCAGAGGGGGTTCTATAGATTACACAGGGAACTACAATAGAAGGTACTAACGGGCTAGGAGGTTAGACTATAGCTCATGCTAACAGGAAATGAGGGACAGCGTCGTTGGGTTGCTTCAGGAGTCGTATGCAGATCAATTACGCAGTAAGCCTCCATTCCGGCCACACACACAACATACAAGTTTCCGTGAACACCTGACCCAATATAGACCCCAGCGATTATGAACCTCATTACTGGCACAAACGAATTCTGGAAGACCCCACTGATCACAATTCTGCGACTCGGTGTGCAGCCAGAAACGATTCCGGAAAAAGTACCAGCCGAACAAGATAGGATTCTATTCTGGATTTTGACAGTTTCGCTGAGCGTTTCGGGGGTTCCTTCCTAACATGGGTTCGTGTCTCACTGTGCCTCCAGCCATGGCAAGCTACCGCATGCCGGATGAGTCCGAACCTCATGAAGCAACCTGGATGGTTTTCAAAGCATCGAAGGGTGTATGGGGAGCTGATCTGGCCCCACATGTTGAGAAGGACGCCCTTAAGAGGCCTTTAGAGGGACCCTTAGAGTGTCTAGGCTTACTATACAGAAGCTACATGAGTTATAGTTTAAACTCCTAGTATCATCCTCCATAGCCCCTATAGTACTTCCCCACACAATCCCCTATATCTCCCCCTTTGAGGAGTTTAGATTATAGTTCGCATAAGTTGCGAAGTGAAGCAGCGTCCTTGAAGATGATACATGTTTCTCCCGGGAGGGCTTACCTATCATTGTAAGATGGTTATGCAACCTTCTACAGGGAGTACATGGGGTTCATGTAGGGGTTATTTAGGGCGACATAGGGATTATAGAGGGATGATATAGGCATAATGGAAAAGAACAATGGAAGCTACTATTAGAGGACAGATGGTCTAGATGCTTCTTTCAAGGCTTCCCGCATCTTTGGTGTCACAAAGAGGATGCCCTTACTTGAATGAACGATTTTGCCCTGATTTGTTCGGGGAGTAGACAGGACCTCTGCCGCATCATAAAGACGATCGCCAAGTACGAGCCAGTGAGGAGTCTGGGTCATCAAAAATGGTTTAGGGTTTAGGGTTTAGGGCAAGTCAAACATGGAGAATAAAGGGAGGGAGCAAGTGAGCTAAACCCTACACTGCTAGTATCCCCCTTTATACCCCCTATAATATCCACCTATATAATCCCTTATGTAGCCCCCCTTGAAGGAGTAAAAGTATGGGAGGGAGCAAGTGGAGTCTGGGCCGTAGAGTTTCGGTACGCAAGGTGAGCCACTGCTGTGGAAACTTTTTGAAGGTTTAGGGTTTAGGGTTTAGGGATTAGGGTTTAGGGTGTAGGGTTCACCACTCCACAGCCCAACCCTAAACTTTCTGGTTCTTGGTAGAAAAAAGGGCATAAAATGCACAAATAGCACCTATAAAATATCTTCCCGGCTTCCCTACCAAGCCCCAGTCAGTGAATGTCAATATATAATCCTATAATCCCTATATAACCCCATATAATCCCTGTAGTTTCGATTTTCTTCTCCATTATCCCAATATCGTAAATTTTAGGCCTTAATCCTAAACCCTAAACCCTAAACCCCTAAGCCCTGGCAAGCTCCCCTGAAGGATAGTTGTCGGGCCGAGAGACCGATCGAAGCTGGCGCGGCTCCTGGATGGCGTGCATAATGTCGAGATGTTTGAGGCTGGGGCCTTTAGGGTTTATGGTTTATGGCTGCCGAAAAAGGGGGGCTTTCAAGATGTTGAGGTCAGGGTTTAGAATTATGGTGCCTTTCTCAGGGTGGTACAATATCGGCGCACCCCTAAGCGGGAGACGCACCCGCTGGCGCAGCTCACTGAGCTTCATAGTTTGGGAGTTTTTCAAACCAAGTCATTCGTGCGAAGTTGAGGCACAATAATTCCAGTAGGCACGCTAACAGCTGTTGCTGCCGTGCGAAGGCATGGTAAATGAAGCCCATGAGTATCCTTTTTGCTCTCCTGCTACCTCCTGGCGGTTAGTAGAGAAATTCGGGGCCAAATCATATTCATTCTATAGAGATTATATGGGGATAAACTTTCCCTTGTTCCTTATTAACGCCAGAAAGACTACGCCTGCAGCATGCCGCATCTGTTTGAGTAGCTTTTTCTGAGGCAGGGCATGCACTTACTAGGTAATATGGTAGTCTCCCTACATAGGGGGACACCAAGATAGACTCCAACATATCATAATCCTTATTCTACGGACCCCCCCCCCCCAAAAATGGTACCCCTAATTTTGGGGTCCCCCATATGGTTGCGATATCCTCGCCAAGCCATCATGGCATGTTTGAGAGCCGCGACGCTGTTGGCTTTTATCTGCAGGCTCACGGCTCCAAATCAGATTCCTACACTTCTCCTGCTTTCCTCAACAACCCTAAAAGCCTAGATCCTAAACCCTAAATCCCAAACCTTCAGTCTTGGTCTTGTAAGGAGACTGTAGGTAACAACCCTTTGATTGGGCTCACTTAGGGCAGAGGGCGGCGGTGTCAGGTCATCAGTTAGTACTGTTGTTGGGAAGGCTTCCATGTTCTATGCTATTTGGATTGTAAGTAAGCAACTTGCAGTTCTATACCGTTTTAGGGTTTAGGGTTTAGGGGTCAATTTGGGTGGATCTTTTGAACATAATGCCTTGAGAGCCCTTCCGCTAAGATGCAATCCCGAGACTCCTCATTCGCATAGACCTGAACCGTATGAACGTCCCAGAAGTATAGATCGTACTACACCTTGGGTACTGCCCTCACTCACTAACAGTTGTATAATGTTTATGATGCAGTTATATAGAGCCCTTTATATGGCCCCGATTATGGACTGTTAGTGTGTGGGGGCAGGACCCAAGCTACACTCACCACACCGACAGTCTCCCTTGCCTTGGCGATACGGGAGATCCCCTGTATCATCCTCAGGGGGACCCCTTGTACATAGTCCCCCTTAAGTAGATAGAATATGGCTTCGATTAAAACCATACTGAGATCCCCGTATACCCCATATTCTATCTACTTAAGGGGGGGCTATACTCCCTACCAATTCCCCGGAAGATTGATAGAGGCGGAAGCAGATGATCTCTGGGTCCGCGACACTGGCCCAGTTTTCACGGTCAGCGCGGCCGACCAGCAATTGAGGGCTGCCTCTGGGCTGCTGTTTAAGAAGAGCATTAGTAATGATTAGTACGAATACTTTTGCATACTTGGTTTAGCCACGTAGTTCAGCTTATTGGGTTTGTTAGATGCTTCTGGTCATCAGTCTGGTTGTTAGGGTTGTCCGGGTTCTATCCACATAGGTTCAAGGCTCAGGCGGCTCAGCGGCTGAGAAAAGGAATTTGGAAGCTATAGTGGGGGGGTATGTTGGGGTAATATTGGGGCAATATTAGGGTTATATTGGGGTTATATTGGGATAATGGAAAATGAAATGGAAACTACTAATTAGGGTTTCGGGTTTAAGGGTTTAGCGGGGGTTCGGCGGTCATTCTCGCGTTCCGGATTCCTGGGATCTCGAACGGGTGGGAATATTTGGGGTTTAGTGCTGTTATGGGATTCAGTGTTTAGCGCGTGGCAGCTGCCAAACGGATGAACACCACATCCTCACTGGCGATTGCCTCTTCACACTTATAAACAGCTTCTATAGTCTTCAAAAGTTGGCTCAAGTCAAGCTTCACTTTGTCAATCCTAAGTTCCCCAGCTTTAGAGGCTGGCCCCTCTTTTGGGGGAACTCCACGTCGCGTACCAACGATCGCAGGGATTAGCCTTAAAACACGACATAGACATACCCTAAACCCTAGAAATTCCTAGACCCTAACCCCCTAAACCCTAGACCCTAAATCCTAAACCCGGTCGCTGGCCGCGGAGAAGAGGTCCGAGAAAAAAAAAGCCTAAACTTCTAAACCCTAGACCCTTTACTCTTAACCCCCAAAATATATCTTCACACTTTGGCAGGGCTATCAGGATGTCAAGCGGAAGTCAAACAGTCATACCTTGCACCGTAAAAGCTACACAAAACTAGGGTTGAGGGCTTCGGGTTTAGGGCCTCTTTTGGGCTGATTAGGGATAAGTCCTAAACAGACCAAAAGAGGGTATAAGATCCCATGTGGTTCGCTCGCACGTAAGTCAGCGCATGCCGCTCCAGGGGAGCAGTTGTTTTGGGGAGGCTCTTGAGGATGTCCGTGAATAACACCATAGTCCTCAAATGGGAAGATTCTATCCTTATTTTCCTTTTGGATATGGTAGTTTGTAAGAAGAGGTTTACTGTAGTACTACTGTAAGGTTCAGCCACCACCAAAAAAAGCTACTCAGGTGAAGTTCAACTTCAATGGCTGGGGCAAGAAGCAGTCGCACTCCCTGGACGCCCAGGTACAGGGTTTAGGGCATAGGGTACAGGATTTAGGGTGTAGGGTTCAGAGTAATGTCGTCTAATCCCCCCTTATAACAAGCCGCGTAATCCAAGGGAAGACAC